AAATATTAGCAGGGTAGAGGCCACACTCTGGGAGAGTGACTTCCAAAGAGAGGGGGCTACCACAGAGAAGGTTTTTTGCTTAGTCCATCCCCATGTTTTTGGTGGGTTGGAATTCCCAACAAGCCCTCCCTAGATGACCAGGTAGGATAGGCAGACTTAATTCTGGCAAGATATTGCTTGATGTATCCCTTTGCTGTATTGTAAATGGCTTTAAAGGTCATTTCATATTTAGGTAGCCAAAGGTGGCCCCACACAGAACGCAGTGTAGTCTGACTGGGGGGTGATCAGGAGAATGAGTGACCGAGATCAAGGCATCCTGGTCCAGATATATCCTATCTGTCCTTTGAGCGTTGTCTGTGGGATTACCCTCATTTTATCCTCACAAGAACCCTGTTGAGATATGCCTAAAGTTAAACTGTGAGCTCCACAGCAAAATGAGGACTTGAACCTGGTCCCATTCCATTTCTCTAACCATTACACCAAAGTGCAATTCCTACACCACCTCTGGATGGTGTCCAGTTGGGTTAAATCATCCTCTGCCTAGCTGGCCTATTTTCAAATGTGGAGCCTAACTAGAAGATGAAGCTACTGTAGGGAGCATTCACACGTGCATTTGTTGTTCAAATCAAATAACCATTGACATGTGTGAATGATAGCAAACTAGATATGGGCCTTCGGCCCTCATGTCGTAGCTTTCAATCAGTTAGAATTACTCCAAGAGTGAATGCTAAAAATGAATTTACTAATAGGGGGCAAGATTGGAATGAAACTCTTTATGATGTTCTAAAAAGCACTTTTGTGGCAAACAAAACTTTGATGGGATAGTAAAAAAATTATATTCTTATTGTTTATATTGTCTCGGATTTTAATTGTAAGCCACCCAGAGTCACCCTCTGGGGGAGATGGGCACCATATAAATTTAATAAATAAATAAAATTAAAATAATGGGAACAAATCATCTATTAATCAAACATATCTGCTCCCATTCTGCTGAGTAAGATCAGATGGGGAAAAGTAACCAGAAAGTGAGAAGGATCATGAAAGGGCAGCACAGCTTTCCTTACTACGCAAGAGAAAAACACCCTTTGCAATCTGTTTTGCAAGATGTCCAATTGCAGCTCTTTCCTCTGAAAGATTTGTTGTAGGAAGTTAAAAAAAAAATTAAGTTACAAGAGAACTGAGTGCTTGCATCTTTGTTGCAAAACTAGCTATTGAAAGGTGAAAAAAAGGGCTTTGCCTTCCCTATCTTCAGCAAAATACTGCAGAGGGGGAAATACGAGAGGAAGGTAAAGGTTATGCTCCTTGCAAAAATGCAAACAGTTATTCCTGCAATTTATAGTTGCATGGCTGCAATGGGGTGTGTGTGTGCAATTGCATCTTAAAGTTTGTGGTATATCAAATCAGTGAGCAAAGGTCCAGGGCTTGCAGTATGACCTCTTATGTCAGTGTTGTCCAAACTTGGCCACTTTAAGATGAGTGGACTTCAACTCCCAGAATTCTGGCTGGGGAATTCTGGGAGTTTACGTCCACCCCTCTTAAAGTGGGCCAGATTGGGCAAAACCTTCTTACATGTAAATGCTGGTCATTTTTGGG